ATATATATCCACTCTGTTACCTGGTTCAGTGATCACAGTTTCTTTACTCTTATATGTTTGTAAATTGTACATTTTTTGCTTTAAAAAGGATTGAATTATGTTGTTCTTATCTTCTGGTTAAGAAATATTATTAATTATCTTTAGTAAATCTTTATGCAATATTTTTAGAATTATCAACAATTTTAAGGTTGTTTAAGTGCCGCTAAACAACAAATAAGGTTTTTGATGGCGGCCATTGCTTGTTTACATTTGACACAGCAGAAAAATGGATTTGTTGCCAATCTAGAGAACGTAGCTTCGCAACAACAAAGATAACACCTTTATTTATTATTGCGAATTAAATCATGCTTAATCCTTTCTAGAATTTTTTCGAGGAAATAAGTGAAAGATTTACTTTGTAATTTTTTATACAGATATTTTGTGTTTTTATGTATTTTTGCCTTGTCGCGAAATGAGAACTGAATTTATTGAATGAGAAATACTCAATCGTTGTGAAAAACTGTTTCTTTTTTATTTTGTTTGCTTAATTTCTTTTATACATTGTTCTAACTTTATTATAATTAACAGAATAAAGTTATTGAACAGAACAAGTGGTAGCGATTAGATAATTCTTTAAATGATATAAATTTTGTGCATTCTGAGTTATAATATGAACGAAATATAATACTGTTAAGTGAACCTAGCGCCAGAATGTCGCTATAAACAAATAGAGTGAATTTTAAAGAATGCATTTATTCTATTGTGGTTTATGCGCTTTCGGCGAAGTAGATTTAATTCAATCCAATAAGTTTAAACGAAATGCAAGAAAAAATGTGTATAATTTAATATTCCGTACAAGAAAGTCATGTGGTGTACACATCAGATTTTTTATAATACTGAAAGATAAAATGATACAGATAACTCAACTTTCCTCATGTAATTTAACATAACATAAAGATTAAAAATAAATGATAATTTAATATCCTTAATCCTTATATTTTTACAGTAATTGAAACTTTTGGTATTTAATATGTATTAATATAAAGTAGATATTTATAGTCTTTTTAAATTAATAAATAAATAAAAATATTTCTCAATTTAACTTGTAGAGTTATTTTAAAATATAAAATAAAATAAATAAGATTTACATTATCTTCAACCTATAACGCAAAATTCTAGATCATCAAGTTTAACATCACTTGATACCTATCATTCAACTGAACCAACAGATTTTCTTCAACGTCTTAATATTTCAAAGATTTGCAATACTAATACTAATTCACAAAGCACGATTAATAAAACTGATAATATGGATAAAAAAATCCAAAACACTTATGAGGAATGCATTTCGTTACTACAAACTATAATATCTGGCAAAAAAGGTCTCTCTAAAAATTTATATCTAAAAATTAAATCTTTGATTGATTTTATAAAAGATACAAAACTTGATGAAAAAAAACACATTTGTCTTCACCTTCATTTGAAGATAATGAAATAAACAATTCTAATGATATTAGTCATCATATCAATTCTAAGAGATATATGGATTCAGGAACTTCACCTATAAGCTGTGAAACAAGAAAATTCTGTGACGACGTAGCTCTATCACCAATCAGCTCCAACTATGGAAATGAAAACAATTTACATGACATTTCTTCACACAATCAAAGAATTTCAACATCAAATCAAGCAACTCCTCTCCATAAAATTATATCCAGGATTACTTATTTGGTAATATAATCTGCATATTGTTCCACCCATAGGTTACAACAATATACAGATTATACCACCAAATAAGGAAACTGGTATTTATTGTCAAAATACCAGTAATGCAGATATATCTCATGATCAAATACAAAATGAAGGATCCAGATCATATGCAGAAGTAGTCAAAATAAATAAAGCTCCAACTAAGAGACAACCGCCAACACTTCTTATTATCCCAAAGACTCAAATTATAAATCGTGAATTAAAAGATAATTTAGAAAAATACAATCCAGTTTCCAAAATTTGTGTAAAAATTCAAAAAATTTCACATATCCGAAAAGGTGGTATCACGGTTTCATGCAATACCAAAGAAGAAATATTCAAGATTAACTCCATATTAGAAAACAATGAAAAAATCACTGATATAGTTTCTCTCAAAATACCATCCAAAAGAAATGTACAATAAACAATCTACCTAAAAATACTGGTCCAGAAGATGTCACTGAAGTAATTAAATAAGCAACTTATTTGGAAAAGAACAAATTCAAACCCTCTTTTAAAATAAATGACAAAAGAAACAATGGAAAAAAATTGGTAATTGAATGCTCTCCTCTAGCCTTCAAAATACTAATGAAGCAAAATATTATCAACCACGCCTGAAGAAGTCACAAACTCGCAGAATTTTTTGGTTCACATTGATGCTTCACATGTAGACTTTACCCATTCAGTTAGAAACTGCAAGCACGGAATTTATTGTGCATTCTGTGACGGCAATCACAATATAAGAGAATGCCAAGCAGAAAGTCCATCATGTATAAACTGCAAACTCCATAATGATGCTAATAATATGGATCTTAATGCATATCACCCTGCTTATGCACCAGACTGTCCAATATACCAAAAAGTGACTAAAGTAATTACAAGAACCGAATATGACATCTTAGATTACATTCATCCTTACAATCAACAAGTTAAAATCACTTCTTTACCTTAGTTCACCAAAACAATATAATTATGTTGTCGACAATACTATCTTAAATGTATGTATATCCACTAAGAACAAATGCTTCACAAGAAAGACTGCAGAAAAATATTAGAAAGATTACTACAATACTGATATAAATGTATTTATGCTGCAAAATAAACTGATGAAATCTATTGCATGAACTAAAGCTAAATTATAACTTATATAAATCTATTGTGATAATTTATTAGGTCTTGTACTTTACACTATCAAGTGAAAACATTTACATTAAACAAAATGTGATATATGCACTTAACTAACTTAAAGAACTCGACATAAACTTATGATGTGAAATGAAAACATCTCAAATAATAGAAATGGAATCATATAATAAACTACAAATCAAGATACTATTATGAACTCTTATAATCATGGCTGTTGGTCTACTATTATTATATCTATCAGTACTATTTTAATTACATCTAATGGTTACGATACCAATCAAAGTCAGTGTCAGTGTCAGTGTACTGTTATAAATTATACACTAACTTTGAAAATTATACATGATCATGTCATTGTCTATTAATCTGTTGATTATGATACTAATAATAATGACAATGAACTATTGTGAACTATTGCAAATGTTGACTATTAATCTGAAGCCTGATGGATTTGATAATTCTGCTGAATAGACGTAAACTATACCAATTACTAACAATTGGAAACTGTTTACCTAGTTATGGAGTTATTTATTATTAACTATTAAGAACTATTATAAATACTAATTTATAAGAACTAAATGCCAGTGAATTATTTTAATTGTTCTTGATTATGGCACCAATAATTTTGCAAATAAACTATTTTGAACTACTAAGAATTGCTTACCAGTATCTTATGGAAGTACTATTGTGAACTATATATAAATTATGTATGAACTATATGGCAGTGAACTATTTGTGAACTGCCATATAGTTCATACATTTACTTTAAACTTTTATGAACTATTAAAATTATACACTATTGGGAATTATTGGGATCAGTGAGCTATATGTCACTGATCTGTTAAATATATGGACAGTGTTCTTTTTTAATATATATATATTGAATTACTATACTAAACTAAACTGAATTATACATTACATTATATATTTAATTGATGAGACACTGAATTGTACTGTTTATTAAGTACTGCACTGATTGATTTGAAATCTGGGGACTATACCAACTATGACGTGATAACTATATAGTCCCGGAATTATATTGTATTTGATTGCATCAATTATATTATACCTAATATATATGTATTGCTGCCACCAAGACCAAATTGTACAAGTAAAAACTGAATATGTATCCAAAGCATGTAAGTGCGATGGCACCACCCGTTAAATGTTATGTACATTTGTATATATTTTTGAAATTTTAATAAATGTCCTGAGGTTCATGGAAGGTCTCGGGACTGTCGGTGTGAGGTGAAATAAATGTTTTGAGCCATGACAGCTCAGTGAGCCCTGTGATCTTTTGGGCTTTCTCTAGATCGATTGCAAATGAAACCATATTATCTGATACCTAAAGGTGCAACATCTGAAACCTAAAGATCTGCCCTGTCAATTATCTTTCTGTGAGACACTTCTGATATGCATGGAAGATGACGCATTTTCAAAAAAGTTAGTATAGTGATGAATCAACTTTTCACATTTCTGGATTTTTATAAATAAGCATAACGTGAGAATAATGTGTTTTGTGCAATATCCCATGAAATTATCTACAGTACGTTCTTTTTTTCTGAAACCAAAGTGATGGGAATAATGTACCTCGATATGCTCAAATTATGGCTTCTGCTAGCTAAAAGATATGCTTAGCTTTATTCTGCAGCAGGATGGTGTACCACTTATCACAACAGTGGATTTGTCACATATCTACAGCAGATTAACTTGGCCACCACAATGTCCAGATCTCACCCCATGCCATTTTTTCCTGTGGAGTTTCGTAAAAGATCCTTTGTAATGCCTACAGGTTCAACGACCATGACTGATTTGAAAGCACATATCACAGCTACTATCGCCAGCATCGATACAGACATGCTGCACAAGAGTTTGGCAAGAATTACATTGGAGACTTGATGTATGTCATACAACAAAAGAAGCACATATCGAACATCCGTGAGAAGTACACTCAAAACTTGCTTATATTACCTCTGCATATAAGTACATTTTTAATGAATACATGTATTACATTTTGCATCGTGTACGTATGGAATTAAGGCATTCGTTTTGACTTACCCTGTATTTTCTTTAGATCTTTAAACCGGTATCTACTTTTTAAACTTCAATGCAAAATATACTTTACGAACCTTTTTTGGTGGTGGTGGAGGACGTCGCTGCAGATTAGCTCGTTCCCCAGAACTTTGGTGACGACTCTCTTTTACTGTTTTTTTTGTATCCACATCAGATAAAATGATAAAAAAGTGTTGACAATTGTCACATTTTACGAATCTACTGGAGGCTATATATGAAGAAACAGATATTGTATAACTGACTTTTAAAAATTAAAAATTTAAAAAAAAATTAATTAAAAAATCCAATTTTAACTCAGGGAAAAGATTAAATATTCAGAACATTTAATTACTAGAATTGCATATTATTGTCTGAGGTACACAAGTATATACAGATTATTTTTAAAGTAAAATTTTAATTCTAGTTGCATGTTTTCATAAATTAAGATAATAGTTAGCATGATACAATATTTCACATAAGGTAACTTAAAAACTTACATAAAAAAGAATATAATAATTTATATAATTAATTCATATGTAATTAAAAGAACAGTATATTTAAAAGAACAGTTCAATTTCATGAACAATGATTTTCAACCTAACAAATACAAATAATCATTAAGTTATAATGCAAGAAAAAGCAGAATTAGTTAAATTTTGTCATATCTAACTGCAAACCAATGAAATACAATGCACACATATATCAATAAAACAGAAACTTACTAACAAATGTTTCAACATGACTACAAGTTGTACCACATTTTGGGCACCTCAACTGACCATCTCGGCCACCGCCATCATTTCCTTTTGAGGATGATTTCCTTCCATTTTCATTACGACCTTTAACAGAATCACCATCATCAGATGAACTCCCAGGATGGCACAACATGCTCGAGAATGAAATGTAGCGCATTGATTTATAATTAACCTTTGTTTTACACTGATAATTATTTAGAAGTTTTGCTACATCTGAAAGTAAATGCAAAAGTAAAATTAGGGTGAAAAAGAATATAAAGAGGCATTGATTAACAAAACGATTGATAATAAATATTTTTAAAGTTTTCTATATCAAAATATCGTACTTCAAGAACAACAGCATAAAACAAATAAATTATGTAGCACAAAAAATAAAATCATCATAAAATTTGCACATACCATCAGAAATCTCTGACTTGATTAAATGTGGTAGCAAATAAGTTAAAGATAATTAGTAAAACCAAACTTCTTAATTTCTTAACAAAAAATAAGAAAAAAACAGAATAATCAATATGAATTTAATAAGAAAGGACAAAAACATAATATATTATAAAAGCGGTTCTCAACCTTTTGACTAACACATACTATCTAAACAAAAACTGGAGAATTTTAGTACCATCACTACATTTACCAATGATTATTTTCCAATTTCTGAAAAGAAATTATGCACACATAAAAAATGTTAGATTAAAAATTGATTACCATTTTAATTATCAAAATTTAAGTTATAATATTTTAATTCTAACATTTAGCATGAAATTTGAGCCTGTTTAAGAGAGAACAGTTTCTTTATGTCTGGTCTTATTTCACTTAGTTGTAAGTGTAAATTAGGATCCACTTTTGATTTTGCTCTACATTTACTTTTCAAATATAACATGGAAGAAAATCCTCGTCCACACAAATACGTTGTGTAAAAAGGCAATAAAAACTTAATAGCTTTATTTGAAATGTCTTTGAATTCTCTTTTTCGGTTCATACAAAAGTTAACAAGTGTGTTATTTTTTAAATCTTCAGTTACAGTTCGGTCACAGTAAGTTTCTATTACAGTACAAAGTCGTAATCCAGATGTCCATTATCCGCAATGATCTAAAATCCGGACCTCAAAGCCACAAACTTTTTTTTTTTTTGTATGCTTTACGCTTGCGCATAATGTGTTTATGCATCCACGTTTAATATATAACGGACGGTATAAGCTAAACTAAAATGATCTTTACTCTGAAAACCTTATTAAAATTACATGGCATTTCAGTTAATGCTGCAGATTGCACTGTTCCTTAATCTTCTAATTGGATCCGGCTTATTATTTTTTGCAGACTATTAGAGCAATTTTATAAAAATTAAGCTTGAACTTTCTATTATGTCAAAAAGAGTTTCCAATTCTGGAGCTGCCAAAGGATTTACAAAGCGTAAGCATGTTTCGATGTCCATCAAACAAAAATTGGTATTGCTGCAAAAAATGGATAAAGGCATATCTGTCTGAAAATTATGCGAGGAGTATGACATTGGAAAGTCAACTGTATATGAAAGTCAACTGGGTACAACTCTAATATACGCCCTAATTTCACCAAATGTGGCGATATGTGTTCTGCGCTGGTTTCTGGCGCGATTGCGTGTTCTATCGCAACCCTGTTGACGTTGAAAAAATCTTTCGCTGAAGCTCGTTGGTCGCCTCTGTGTCTGAGAAGATGGGAGGGAAAGATAAAATGGCAGTTGTTGAATTGAAGTTCGGCAAAAGGAAATATCATTGTGGCTATCTGTTGAGGGGTAGTGAATATTTGGAACTGTGGAAAGAGGGTCTGGGAGATTATTTTTAATGGCAGTGCATGATAGAAGTAGGGATTTGTAATTTTATTTATTTGTGAACCATAGTATAAATTTTCTGGATAGTGTGTCTGGCTGTCATGTAAATACGATAGTGATTACGTGGCGGCATGAAATTTACATTTCTGCTATTCGAAAACGCATTAATTCATGGTAAGTGCATTTTATTTTATCCTTTCTTCCTTAGTATTTTGTAGAATGTTATGTTCATTGGTTCTTCAGTATGAATTTCTGTCGTTATTGTTGTTTTTTTAAATTGTTTGAAATTTATTTTAGTTTACTTTGTTGTATAGTGTCTAGACTGTACAATTCGTAGATGTTTTTTAAAGTTGAAACAGAACGCTGTGTACATGGTATTATTTGAAATTTATTGTTGTTATGTTATTTTATTAAAGCGAGGAGTGCGTAGATCGTAGATTCCTTCCTTGCCTAAATTGTGCAATTCGTAGAATTTTTTTTTTTAAGTTTAAACAGGATGTTGTGTACATGGTATTCTTTGAAATTTATTGTTGTTATGTTAATTTATTAAAGCGAGGTCTGCATAGTTTGTAGATTCGTTCGTTGCCAATTCGTAGATGTTTTTTTAAGTTAAAACATGTCGCTGTGTACATGGATTCTTGTCAAATATTTTTGGTTAGAAACTTTACGTTTTTGCTATCTAAATTTTTTGTTTTGTTTTCGGATTTTTAGCTAAATTGTGTGTTCAAACGTAGTTTTTTGCATGTGCGAAAACCGCGTTTTTGGAGACATTTTAGGCTAAAAGCTCAAAATGTAAACAAAAAATTTAGATAGTAATATGGCAGCGTGAAGCGAGAAATTTGGCGACTTGAGGGCGCATATCAGAGTAGTTCCGTCAACTGTCATAAGCAAAAAGAAAAAGGAACTTTTTAAATTTTTTTGTGGATTCCGACACCCCACTTGCAATGAACAACAGGAAAAGGGTTCGTTATGCTGAAAGTGACGATCATGACAAAGTGATAATTGAATGGCATCGCAGCGAAGGCGTACAATTGACGAGTCCAATGCTAATGGCTCAAGCCAAAATAAAGCAAGCTGAAAGTGCGATTGCAAATGCTCAATGGCCGCGCAGCGAAGGCGACAATTGACCCCAATGCTAATGGCTCAAGCCAAATATTTCATGAAGAATGAACTTAAACATTGAGTGCACATATTCAACAGGTTGGTTAACCAAATTAAAAAATCGCCATGGTATAAGACAATTAAAAATTTCAAGTGAAAAAGCTTCAGCTAATACTGAAGCTGCTGAACAATTTGCAGATGAATTCATTGAACTCATTATCTCCAGAACAAATTTACAACGCTGATGAAACTGGTCTTTTCTGGCAATTTGTAACACGAAATACCTTGGCAACCTCAACAAAAAAGGCTCCGACTGGTGTCAAAGATTCCAAAGTGAGACTAACAATTTTAGCATGCACAAATGCTGCAGGAATGCACAAGTGCAAGCTTTTCGTAATCGGAAAACGTGCACGAACTCGAGCATTTAAAGAAGTAATGAATTTCCCCGTTATATATCGTGCAAATAAAACAGGATGGATGACACAAGCATTGATGAATGATTGGTTTGAAAATCATTTTATACCCGAGGCTCGGCGACTTTTGAATTCGGTTGGTTTACCTGATGACTCAAAAATAGTCCTGATTGTTGACAACTGTTCGGTGCATACTTCACTTAAGTTTTAGTGAAAAATAATGTATCCATATTATTCTTCCCTTCAAATTGTACACCTATCATTCAGCCCACGGATATGTGAATAGTGCACGTGCTGAAATGCAAATATAGCATTTTTTAAATCTATGTTAAATTTCTTGACCAATGGCAAGACTATTCAAGACTTTTTCAAATTTTTTAGCATAAAATCTGGTGTGTGGAGCATCACAAGATAGTGGGAAGATGGGTCTTCAGATACATTAAAAAATGCTTGGCATAATTTATGGCCAGCTACCATATTTCATGATAAGGACGATGAAGATGATAGCCGCGAATTTGAAGATTTTCGGACATCGCAAACTAGAGGTGAAATTTTCCAGTTATTGGATTTTGTAAAGAAATCTGCAGAAGCGGTAATAAATGAAGATGATATAACAGAAGTTTTTCATTGTGACGACAATGCCCTAATCATCAATAAATTAACGGATGGCGAAATCTGTCGTGTGGTTCTAGATCACGAAAATACTGCTTCCGATAGTAAAGAAAATGACAGAGAGGTTATTGAAAACGAAAAAATTTCGATTGACAAGTTAGTCGGTATTCTCGATACAGCAATTACAGGACTTGAACACTATAACTTTGTAACTGAACAAGAAATTATGTCTGTTTATAGAATTAAAGAGAACGTACTAGCAAAAAAAATAAAGCAACTTAAACAACTTACATTGAAAGAAATGTTTAAATAAAGTAAACAAATAAATATTAAGCTCTTTGTTTGTAAATTTTGATACCCTTTAGATCATAATTGCTCTTTATTTCATAAATTACGGTTTCATATTTTTAATTGTATAATTTCTGCAGGCCATCTTATCAGATTTAAATTGATGATCTATAATCCGGAAAAACCCCTAATCGGGAATTGCCTAAGTCCCGACGAGTCTGGATAACGGACTTTGTACTGTAATGATTCTTTTTCTTCACGAGATAAAATTTCAGGTACATTTGAACAAAATGAATTTCTAATCCAATTTTCTTTTTCATAATCCTAGGGAAAATACATGTTGAAATTATTTATCAATAAAAAACAATTATTTTTAATGTCGGATGCTAATTCTCTTATTTTCAAATTATTTTCTGTTATAAAACTTTCTAAAAGAGGTAAAAAGCTTAAAATATTTTTATCCAATCCTTTGATTATTAGCTCGAGTTTATTTTATCATTGCCTTTATTTTATCTCTAATGGTAAACAAATTAACACTTTGTTCTTGCAATCATAAATTTAGTTCATTTAACTTTTCAAAATTATCAGCTAAATATGCTAAATATGCCAACTATAAATCACTAAATAAACATTTTTGCAATTCAACTTTTAAATCACAGAGGAAATTTTGCATTTCTGATCTATAATCCGTTAATATAAGTTCAAAAAAACGATTTAAAACTTTGTAAATATTTTATGAATTTTCACAGATCGATTCAAAACAATTTTTAGGTTTTCAAGGATTGTTTTGGCTACTAAAGCTTCATGATGGATAGAGCAGTGAGTAAATTTAGTTTCAGGTGCGAATTTCTTTATTTCAGAAATCACAACAGAATGTTTTCCTGTTAATGCCTGAGCTCTGTCACTGCTTATGGCACTGCACTTATTCTAAGGAATATCATTCTCAAATATAAAATCATTTTTATATCTAAATTTCACTTGCAATTGCTGTATCATGAA